CGTCGATCTGCAGGGTTTCGTCGTCAACGAGCGATTCGTGACGGAGATGACGATACTCGCGAACGGCAGAGATCTGACGCATCACGGCGTCTTTCGCGCGCCGATGTCGTGGAATCTGCTGACGAAGAGCGAGAAGTCGCAGGCCTGTTGGCTGACTCTTAATCACCACGAATTTCACTGGACGGATACGTGGAGTATAGGCACGCTAAGCAGATCGTTCGCGACGCGATATATCGCGCGTCGAGGGATCTCGAGTCGAACGCCGCGGTGACGATTTACGTCAAGGGTCGCGAGAAGAAGAAGTGGCTGACCGACATCGCGGGAGAGGTCGCGGAGCAGCGCGACCTGACGATCGAGACCATCGACGCCGATTACGAGGATATCGGACTCCTTCGAACGCTGCCGCGACTCGCGTCTATCGCTGCGGCTATTACTCGAAGAATTGCGCCTTGGAAAACGTGTGCAAACTGCACAACTGGTGGTTGGAGAGACGCGATCAATTGTGCGACATGTGAATAGAGACGCGTCGCGCGATGATTCGCGCGTCTCGCGCGTTTTTCGCATCGTAGATTAGTTTTGCGCGTACTCTTATCGACGACTAATTTTTTTATCTCGCGCGCGTTGACTTATCACCTACCTAAAAAAGTATTATTAATACTTAGAAAGATACTATTAATACTAAGAAAAATAATATTAATATTAAAAAAGAAAATATTAAAATAATATTAATTAGCGAATAAACGTTAACTCGTATCGCGCGTACGCGGTTAAACGCATTTTCCGGCACTTCCTCCGGAGCAATCGAGAATTCGCGCCTCATTAAATTACCTCGTTATATTTCCGCATCGCACGATTTTTTCATACCGCCTTAGATTATAGCATTAGCATTCGACGGAATCATAACGACTCGGCGATAGTAATATCGCACGATTTTTTCATACCGCTTTAGATTATCGCATTAGCATTCGATGGAATCATAACGACTCGGCGATAGTAATATCGCAGGTATAAAATAACGCCGAGAGACCGTTTTTCCTCAGAATGAGACTCGCGATCGTGTTATTGAGTGCGTCTAATATTGCAAGTGTTCTCAGTGTGTCCAGTATTCATTCATCTCGGAGTTATTTTTTCGCGCGAACGACGATGAGCAACGATGAAATTTCGAGATTGCGGAGGATGCACCACGAATGCACGTTCATGCCGTGGATGTGCGTCTGGAAGATAAAGTACATCAGAAATCTCAGGGATGCGATCATATAGTGGTAACTCAATATAGTCGTAACTCAATATAGTGGTAACGTGGAACGTAAGTACTCATTCATCATCGTTCTTTATTCTTTCGCTCTCCTTCGAGGAAAAATACGACGTACATTGATCGCGCGACATTTTTTCAGTTCGAGAAGGAGGTGGAGATCCGATTCGTGAACATACGTCGCCGACATTGGATACGACAGACAAGACTGAAGCAACGTCGATTCTTAAACTCGTTATGGTGCGACCGGTCGTCCTATAGAAAATCGGAGAAGTGCTCCCCTGATATCTACGCCGACATATTTCGGCTGAGAAGATTATTCAGTATGGAGCCGCTCGTCTCGGATCACACGTTTAAAACCGAAGATTTCTGCGATGACGATTCTCCTGTGGAGATATGGTACGATGACGTGAGCTCGATCGAAGAAACGAGCTCCGTCCGCACGGACGACAGCGGATTTTAACTGAGGTATGGATCTCTTTTCGTATAACGCGCCGTTCTTTCCTTTCGCGTATCTCGATACGAATTATTAATACAAGGCTTTACATATTTTAGACGTCTCGTCAATTTCGACGTCGAAAGACGGCGTCGAAGGACGGCGTCGAAGGACGGCGCCGAAGAACGGCGCCGAAAGACAACGTCGAAGGACAGCGTTTTCCCTTCCTCCTGATCTCCGCCCGCATCGCCCCCCTTCCCTTGCGCGCGTCGTTCGAATGCTTCTTAGAATTCTCTTGCTAACCACTGCCAATCTGAAAGCGACAAAAACTCCTTGATGCTATTCGGTTTATTCGGTTCGTATCGTTCGCTATCATATGACGGACGTGTCGGCACACTCTTTCAGATACACGATCCTCTATATTCATCTTGTTATAGTCCGAAAGACTATAACTTATTATTTCATTGATAATATTAATAGAATATTCGCGAACCGCGTAAAACCGCTACCTCAGTAACCGAACCACACGTAAGAACGTCCGCTGGAAACGCGAAAACGCTAACGAAGGGATTCGACTTTGAACCTCCTTCGCTTGCACTTAGACTTTGGACGCCACGAAAAACCTCCATGACCATACATGGTCATGTCGCTACGCGATCCCCTCCAAAACACCCCCAAAAAACGAGGGAATAAAAGCCGTCTACCGCGAATCCGCGGCGGACAGTCGTTAATAATAATTCAATTAATAATAGTGTGAGACCTAACCGCTATATTGTGCGACGAATCACCGACGAAATTGTAAGACACTCTAAATCTAAGAACGAGGCTAAGAAGAGAAGGCTTGAAAAGAAATTGACTTATATCAAATACGAGAATATATTTGTTGAAGATTATACATCATAATAAAAGTTGTAAAGGTAAAACAAGTCCGAGGAATTGAGTCTATTACCCGGTTACCCCACACCCCGTGCCGCGTCCGGCACAACAATCTCTATATTCCTATCTCTATATAAAATCCCTTTTATAGGGTCATTTATAGGTCATTTATGGTTCATTTATAGGTTATTTATAGTTCATTTATGGTTCATTTATAGGTTATTTATGGACTATTTATAAGTAGCTTCCCAGGTAGCAGAGTGATGACATCTTAATAACATTTTAGTAATGTCAGTTGAAGAACGCGTCAGTTTGAGTATATAAGTCTTGTTTTGCCGCTCCTTTTTTTTAAATGGTCGTTTCATATGGGTCGTTCTTACAGTCGTTCTTACAGTTTTTTAAATAATCGTTTCACATGGGTCGTTCTTACAGGTCGTTCTTACAGGTCATTTGTACATACCGTTCCGCGTTAATTCATATTCAATCGTATATATATTTAATAGTCATATATTTTAATCGTATGTATTTTAATCGTATATATATTTAATAGTCATATATTTTAATCGCATATATTTAATAGTCATATATTGTAATCGCTATATTTTAATCGCTATATTTTAATCGCTATATTTCAATCGCTATATATTACATCCATCGTCGATAGTCGCACAATTATCGAAAGCAAACAGGGAGGAGGACTCGAAGACCTCACGTCCTCTCAAACATTATATTAGAATATTATAATATATTAGAATATTATAATATATCAGAACATTATATTAAGCGTTATATATATTAAAATATTACATTAAGCGTTATATTAAGCGTTATATTAGAATATTATATTGTAAATAATTTAATGTCGCTAGTCGAGTAATCAAAGGATCAATAGAAAAACTGTAGTCGACCAAACTAACCAAAAAAATTTTAGTTTATTAATACGACGTTTCGACCATGTGGTTGTGATCCTTATCAAGTATACACTAAAAAAGATTTATAAATACATAAATTAACGGTTTGATTACATAGTAACGCATAGGGAATTAAAGTGTGAAAAATGTTTACCGATGTAATAATAATCAGAAGGCACCATAACTGGTGAACATGTAAAACACATAATCACATAATACAAAAAACGTTATTTAATTAAATTCAAATTTGAGAGAAGCTGATGCGTCCATGTGAGACTTCATCAATAAACTAACATAACAGGAAGAACAACGGTACTAAGTGACCTTAATAATTTTGTCGTAAATATTATTCAAGTTATCTGTGTCAGTCTGTAAGTTGATTAGATTTTTAGATCTCTTGATAAAGAACATTTCAGCTATCTCTCTTTTGCGAACGTACTTTTCATTGTGCAAGATATTCGGTTTCGACCAATCGAAATCGTGTCCGGATTCTAATCTATGTTTGCTGATAGCGGAGTGATTAGACTCATGTAATTTTATATTGTTACAATGTTCTTTCACTCGGGTCCGCAAATGTCTTTTTGTTTGCCCAATGTATGATAAATTGCAATCCCTACAGTTTAATTTGTATACAACACTTGTCTTGTCGTTATTGTGTAAGGTATCTTTACCACATTTAATTAAGTTATTAAGTTTTTTTGTTACTTTGTAGACGACGTTGAAACCAACGTTTCGTAGAAGACGGTAAAGATCTTGGCTCGTATTCTCTACGTATGGTATGGTGATAAAATGAGTTTTAACTGGATGAGTAGAATTGGCGTCATCAGTGTCATTGCAGTCGCGATTGTTTAAAAAATTGATTCTTTTTCGAATGTGTCTGTGAATGATATGTTCAGGAAAACAATTATTAATTAATGTATCATATATTAAATTAATATTCTCTTGTTTAAAACAGTCAGATAGTAAAATAGCAGGTCAACTAAATTATAAATCGTATTAATTTTATATTTTATCGGGTGATTCGAGTAAAAATTAATATATCTCCCGGACCATGTGGGTTTCCTAAACCAATTGGTGATAAGTTTGGTTCCCAGACGAATGATTTTAACATTAAGAAAACTAATCGAAGAATCAATTTCTTTCTCGTACGTGAATCGTAAACGTTCGTGGTAATTATTGAAAATGGATAAAATATCATCAATTTTTGTACGTGGTACAATTGTAAAAACGTCGTCTACATATCTGTAATACATGGGGACTGTAAAATTCAGTGAGTTAAGACATTGAGTCTCCAAATCGTCCATCACCATATCTGCCAAGATAGGTGACATTGGAGAGCCCATGGGTGTGCCGAAGATCTGTTCGTAAAATTGTCCGTTAAAGGAGAAGCAAGTTGAATCCAAAATCAAATCAATTGCAAATAGGAATTGAGATAAGTTAAATTTAGTATTTTTTGCAATTTCGTCCCAGCGTTTTTTAATGGCATTTTCAACTAACTCCCTTGGAACATTTGTAAATAAAGAAGTCACATCCAAAGAATGATGTTGTCTTCATCAATGATTGTGTTCTTAATGCTTCGAGCAAAAGACCAACTATCTTTAACAAATGAATTAGGTTTCTTTATAGATTCTTTATAGATTTATACAGAATGCTGTGGATGTAACTCGAAACATTATACACCGGGCTTCCCACAGCAGATACAATGATTCTCAATGGAAAACCGTCTTTGTGGACCGTAGCAGACCGTAGCATCGCGGTAAATTACCGTTCGTACAATTTAAGTTTCAATATGTCAACTCACTGATCAAGTTATTTTTGCGCCATGATTTTACTAGCTCATTAATTTTATTAGTCAATTTTTTCAAAGGATCTTTGTTCAGAGGTTTATATGTAGTTGGGTCATTCAGCAGCTGGTACATTTTATCAGAGTAATCTTTTTTATTCATGACAACCGTAGTCTGACCCTTGTCAGCTCTCGTGACCATAATGTCACTATAGTTTTCGCGTAAGTATTTTTTGGAGAGCGCGAACGAATTAAGAATATAATGGTCTGAAGAACTAATATGTTTCTTCGTAGTAAGAAATCTTTGGAGGATATTAGCCACTGAGATCCGAGTTGTTTCGATAGTGTCAGTGGGCAGGATATTGCTATTCACTTCAAAGTTCTTAATCACGTCCAAAACATAATTAGTGCGGTCATTATTTTGTTTTTGTTCGATAGGCAAGGCGAAGTTCTCACCCAAGCTTAAAAAATCAGAAACGGTGTCAGGTATATCTTTACTGCTGATGTTGACCAACCACTTGGAATTATTGATGTTAGAAAAAGGATGTGAACAAGTGTTGTATTTTTGTTTTAAATTGTTGAACTTTTTAATAGAGTTATTCTTTAAACTAAGATCAAACGATAGAAGTCTATGTTTATTTAATTCAAAAAAATTAGTCAGTAGGTTATGAGGTAGACAATCAAACAGTCGTTTTTCAATATATTCAATTTTGTTGAGTAAATAATTTAAATTAATGTTGAGATTTTCGATCTCAAAGTTCAACAACTTAAGCTGATTCATTTTCTTAAATTTATCAAACTTGCGTCTAATGCTGTTACTGTGGAACGCGATGCTAATTTTTAATTTGTTAATATGTGTAGGCATCAAGTCATGTCTTCGGCACCGAATCAAAAAGGTTAACTGTTGTTTCGAGGTGAAAATCTTCTTCTTGCAATTAATCCAAGATTTTAAAAGCGTTGTACAGTTGTCGTCAAACCGTTGAGAAACGTGTTAGAAAAAGTCATCAGTGCGAGTTGGCTCCATAATTAGGTCCAGGAGCGAAATTAAAATTGTAAATAATTTAATGTCGCTAGTCGAGTAATCAAAGGATCAAGAGAAAAACTGTAGTCGACCAAACTAGCCAAAAAAATTTTAGTTTATTAATACGACGTTTCGACCATGTGGTTGTGGTCCTTATCAAGTATACACTAAAAAAGATTTATAAATACATAAATTAACGGTTTGATTACATAGTAACGCATAGGGAATTAAAGTGTGAAAAATTTTTACTGATGTAATAATAATCAGAAGGCACCATAACTGGTGAACATGTAAAACACGTAATCACATAATACAAAAAACGTTATTTAATTAAATTCAAATTTGAGAGAAGCTGATGCGTCCATGTGAGACTTCGTCAATAAACTAATATAACAGGAAGAACAATGGTACTAAGTGACCTTAATAATTTTGTCGTAAATATTATTCAAGTTATCTGTGTCAGTCTTTAAGTTGATTAGATTTTTAGATCTCTTGATAAAGAACATTTCAGCTATCTCTCTTTTGCGAACGTACTTTTCATTGTGCAAGATATTCGCGACTGCAATGACACTGATGCCGCCAATTCTACTCATCCAGTTAAAACTCATTTTATCACCATACTATACGTAGAGAATACGAGCCAAGATCTTTACCGTCTTCTACGAAACGTTGGTTTCAACGTCGTCTACAAAGTAACAAAAAACTTAATAACTTAATTAAATGTGGTAAAGATACCTTACACAATAACCACAAGACAAGTGTTGTATACAAATTAAACTGTAGGGATTGCAATTTATCATACATTGGGCAAACAAAAAGACATTTGCGGACCCGAGTGAAAGAACATTGTAACAATATAAAATTACATGAGTCTAATCACTCCGCTATCAGCAAACATAGATTAGAATCCGGACACGATTTCGATTAGTCGAAACCGAATATCTTGCACAATGAAAAGTACGTTCGCAAAAGAGAGATAGCTGAAATGTTCTTTATCAAGAGATCTAAAAATCTAATCAACTTACAGACTGACACAGATAACTTGAATAATATTTACGACAAAATTATTAAGGTCACTTAGTACCGTTGTTCTTCCTGTTATGTTAGTTTATTGATGAAGTCTCACATGGACGCATCAGCTTCTCTCAAATTTGAATTTAATTAATAACGTTTTTTGTATTATGTGATTACGTGTTTTACATGTTCACCAGTTATGGTGCCTTCTGATTATTATTACATCGGTAAAAATCTTTCACACTTTAATTCCCTATGCGTTACTATGTAATCAAACCGTTAATTTATGTATTTATAAATCTTTTTTAGTGTATACTTGATAAGGATCACAACCACATGGTCGAAACGTCGTATTAATAAACTAAAATTTTTTTGGTTAGTTTGGTCGACTACAGTTTTTCTATTGATCCTTAGAATATTATATATTAAACGTTATATAAATATACATAGATCGCGCAAATTTTTTTGTATGAATAAAGAATCATTTAAAAAAAAAAATGTTCGTTCTTTCGATCACCTCTCTAGCGCGTCCGAGAGTATCTTCCCTCCCCTTCTCTTTTTGTACGAATAATGAATCATTTGTTTTTAAAAAAAAAAAAGTTCGTTCTCTTGATCATCCTTCTCGCGCGTCCGAGCGTATCTCCCCTCCCCCCTCCTCCTTCTCCCTCGTACGACGTTTTCTCGCGTTCTAGAGAACGATATATCGCCGAAGGACGCGCGCGCGCGATAGTTCGCTACCGTCCCGACCCCCGCGCGCTAGCACCTCGCGAGAGCCATGACGCGCGTCGCGTTATCGCTTGCGCTGACGATATCCCTGCTCGCAGCCGTCGCGGCGGCACTGACCTATGATGACGTCGCGGAAGCGTCCCGTTATCTTCGAACTTACGGCTTTCTGGAGAACGAGGAGAATCATCAGCAGTCATTGCTATTGGACAACACGACCGCCCTGAGCGAAGCGCTATCATTGTTCCAGGAATACTACGGCCTGCCGGGAAACGGCGTTCTGACCGTGGAAACGATTCGCGTCATGCGCAGGCCGCGATGCGGCGTCGCGGACATTCACGCTTACAGCCCGTTGACGAGAAAGTGGCCGAGGACGCACCTCACGTGGAACTTCAAACTAGCGAACAGAGATACTCTGCGCACGACTCAGAGCGCGTTCGCTCTGTGATCCGAGCAATCCTCTCTGACGTTCCCGCTGCGCCCCGATATACTGATATCCTATCAATCCGGCGCTCACGCATACGAGAACAGCGACAACGGGGGCTCGTGCCCGTCGCCGTTCGCGGGACCGGAATCGGTCATTGTTCACGCGTTCTTTCCGACGGGAGAGCCCAATCAAGTGACCGAGATGCACGTCGACGAGATGGAGCCATGGCACATCACGCTGACCAGGCCCCCGTCGGACAGGCTGTATCTCCTTCAGACACTAATGCACGAGATCGGTCACACTCTGGGTCTGACTCACAGTATGAGGGAAGATTCGGTCATGTACGCGTACACGCCTTCAGAGGAAAGGCGATATCCGCTAAGGCTGAGAGGACGTCATAAACGTGCGAAATCTCTACGGATCGAGAGAGACGATGAATCCTACGATCGTTGACGCTACTCCGACGACCGCGGCGACGACTATGACGGCAACGGCCTCGACGACGACGACGACGACGGCCGCGGATCCACCGACAACCGCAAGGACGGTTAAGACGCCGCTCGCTCCCTCCGATACTGCGGATTTATGCGCCTTGAAGCGCATACGGAGCGCTAATCATGAATCGTCGCTTGTACTACGTCGCGCGTAAATGCAACGTGTGGCCCATCGATATGATGGAGAGACGCTATGGAGCGCCCTTATCGTTCGCCGACTACTTCAAGTTTCTCCCCCGCAATTTCGCTCGCGTATCGGCCATTTATCAGAGACCCTCGGGCGATATCGCGATATTCGCCGGCGACTACGTCTACCTCGCCGATTCGAATTTTCATCTTAAAGCGGGATGGCCTAGATCCGTCGAATACGTCGGATTTCCCCGCGACGCTAGGATAAACGCCGCGATAAACACGCACGCCGGGCGCAGCTACGTCATATACAACGACGATAAAATAGCCGAGATAAACGACTGGGCGATAACCGTCGCGAGGCACGGCGCTCTGCGGGATACGTTTCCGGGATACCATCCGCGATAACGGCTGCCTTCCGCCACGTCGACGGTAATCTCTATTTTCTGAAGAAACTCGAGTATTACGCGTACAGCGAGTTCATCGACGCGATAATCTCGGCCGATCCCTTCGATCTTAGTACTGGGAACAGAATGCCCCGCCGATGGCATTCTCTGCATCGATTGAGCGAACTCGTCTCCAAGCTGTATCGTCTGGAATATGCGTCCTTCGAAAGACCGCGCAACGACGACGACGATGACGACTAAGATCAGGAAATCCTGAAACCTAACGTTAAGATTACATTTAATATGCTGTTCTAAACCGCTTCCGCTGCATTAATTAACGCGCATAACGCACGCGTCGAGAATAAAGATATCGAGACGATGATCGAGATTGCATCGTATATAAGGCGCGTCTCGATCGTTGCGCGACATTTCCAACGATACTCGCGATTAACGCGCGCACGATTCTAAGCGAGCATCTCCGATGAATCTCTCTCTCTCCTCGCGACAACCAACGTTAACGACGCCGTCGCCACCGCAATGTTTTCCTGCGAACATCGAAGCCCTGTTCGCGAGACCGATCATGTTCGCCGGACTCGGACAGGAGTACCGCAGAGTGTTCGGGGACTCATCCGCAACGCCTGCGACTCCGTCGGCGCCGCTGATGGCGGGCCCCTTCGTCGCCCCGCCTAACCGTCGAGACGATTACGCGGCTTCCGCCAAGGACGAGGATACCACCCGCGATCGTTCCGACACTCCGCCCGTGATCAAGAAAGCTCGACTGTACACCGAGGACGAGTGAGTATGCGCGACGCTTCGCGAGTTACCTCGCCCGAGCGCTCTCGATCTCCACCTCGATCGACTATTTCGTATAATAACGTCGTCTTTTTTTCTCCGATCTCGACAGATGGAATAGAAACTGGCTGTTCAAACGCAAGATCAATTTCGCGAGACATCCGATTCGGATATTAGGAAGACGATATCCGCTAACCAAGACGGCGTACAAGTACATCGACATCGCCGTAGCCGTGAAGCGCGAATCTCAAGTCGACATCGTCCTAGAAGACTGCCATGGAAAGGAGATATCTCTGACGCTCGACATGTGGAAGGATCTGCTCGCTCTGCGCAACGATATACTGCCGTATTTCGAGAACGATTTGAACGAGGCTGTGGCGCGCCCTCCGTCGTCTATAATCGTTGGAACCGTGACGCTTCGATTCGGCAAGATAAACAATCTGAAGACGTTGCGATTCGAGATGCCGAAGAATCGCATCGCTCTGTCGCACTCCACCATGAAAGCGCTGTTCGTTCTCGAGCTATGCGTCAATCGCATCATCGCGTCGTTGACCGGCATACTCGAGACCGTAGACGCTAAGTTATCGCGTTTTCTAGATATCGCGACGGAAATCGACCACCCCGGCGATATTCCGGACGCGATTCGTCGGCACGAGCACTTCAACGCAAACGATCTGATTGACTGAGAGTTACACGCTCTGCTATTCGGACTCTATCACAATTTATAAAACGCTATGCGCGACGAATAAATGTATCGCGATCTCGAACCGTATACTTACTCGTATAACTGCGCTCGAATGAGACGAAACGATCGCGAGTACCGATATTATTCTCGACGTATGTATCTACGCATGTAACTTCATGACATAATACAAAAATTTTACACGTAATTTATTCTCTCTCCTTGATTTACGTCACCCTTGTCTCTCCTCGATTTGCAACGAATTCCCTCCTCTCGAAATAAATCTAATATACATCGTATATTATACATTATATAAAATCGTATGTTATATAAATCGTATATTGCATATTATATCTCTTCCAGGCTCGCGTCGAACGCATATATTTTATTTATTATTAACGTCGACTCTATCTCCGTCTCGCGCGTCGAACCGGCGGAAGCGTCCGCGGTCGCCCGTCGGGCGCGTCGCGCGCGACGCGCCCGACGGGGCGATCGTCGCTTATCGCGCGCGCCTAGCGCGCCGCGTCCAGAGACGCTCCCGACGCGCCGTATCCAGGGACGCGCGCGCTCTCTCTCCCTCTTCCTCGCTCTCTCGCCCTCATGTCGAACCCCTCTACCGCCCGCTCCCCCTTGCCGCGCCGCCCTTCCTTCCGCGTGACGTCACGACCCTCCGTTTACCCACCCGACGGCGAGCGGCTCCCCTCGCCCTACCTACCCCCTGCTCACCCCCGCCGCCGTCACCCTGCCCCTCAAATATCTTTCTATCTCTCTCGCTCTACGAGATCTCTCTCTCGCACTCGTGGAAAAAGTGAGTTAGAACCGATCTACACGGGTTGGACAAAATAATATGAACACCTGACATATACACAATATTTATTTATTAATAATGTGTTGGGCCACCATTTACTTGTCGAAACAGTATTACTCAGGTGAGCGTTGAGTTCTG